TAATTCTAAACATCTATGCAAAGCTCACAGGAAAGTTTGTGTCCTCCTGAAAATTCACCAAAACTAGGAAGCCGTTGTTCATGCTGATTAATTAACTTTACCGAATTATAACAACTTTAATCTTTTTCTTCTATCAAACAGTGAAAGTTTGTAAAGGAACATTATCACATCGCCTTACAGCTCCCTCTTGTTAACGCTAGCTGCACTTTATGAAGGTAATGTTTTGACGGAGTGAACAACACAACGCTTTAAATCTATGGCCAATTAAGTTATAAAATATCTGTTGTCCAAGATAAAAATGTATTTAATGTTCATTTGAATCAACATCATGTATTCTGTCCGTGTAGCTGTTTTAAATGTGTTTCTTGTTCTACATTGGCGTATTCAGTATCGTGCGCCATCTAGTGGCCTCAATGAAGAAACTACCCGCAGAGTCAAGTTAGATACACGTAGCGAAGAGATACTTCCGTTAAACCCTTTCAAAATAAACCTTGTATTAAAACGGAGGGATATTCCATCCTGTTCATACTGTGACTGTAATCTATGGTCAGTTTGATGAATAAAATGACAAAGCATTGTAATAGATGATTCCCTCCTCGCCTCCTTAGCTTTTAGTTAAACTCTGCTGGGCTCGTCATCAACCGGAACCGGAACACGTAACATTTTTCATCACTGGCGCCATCTAGTGGACAACCCGAAAGCTACAACAACATAAGGGGGGAAACATGATGGGAGTATGACGGCTGCCACACGGCTGATATCAAGGTTGACGCTGGTCACTGGTAAATATATGTTGTAAGATACATGGTGTTGTGTGAAGTGAGACGTTTAAGGACATGCCCTTTCCCTTTTCAAGATGTTGCGTTCAAAGCCGTGTGTTTTTCTGCAATCTTCTTCAATTCACCAAATCAAAGCAGCTACCTACTGCAAGTAGCTTCTGATATCAAAAAGTTGATCTCCAAGTAAGCTGACAATGAATTCATTATTTTAGTGTAACCGTGATTCTATCAGTGATTTCTAAATCAGTACCTCGAGCAGATCGGACTGAATTAAGTTTGATGACTTGAAATGAGAGTGAAGGTGAAAGTGTAGCTGTCATTCTGGCTGTGTGTATGCTATCAATAAGACCTGCAACCATTTCAGAATGAAATGATCTGCCGTTGAATTGTGAAAATACTGAAAAAGGAAACATGTTTAAATGCCTCAGAGTTTAAATCTTTAAATGTCTGGTTTTGTCCGACTTAAGGTTCAAAACTGTAAAAAATGCAATACAGTGTGGATACAGTGAGTGACTGAAAGGATACATGTATTATGAGAATTGTGGCTTATTAATTGTCTTCTTTGACTGATGGAATAAACATTAAAGCTGTATTATGAATGATGAAGCATCACTTGTCCTCTTACATTTTCACATAGAAAAGTGGACTCAAGGTTTTTGAAGACAGAAGAAAGAAAGAAATGTGATTGGCGCAGATGATTTGTGAATAACAATTGGTCATGTAGCCCTGAACTGTTGGGCTAATCAAACTGAAAATCAATCACATCAAGTCAGCTTCCTGTCCTGTGTGTTTTCTTGTCGTCCTTGATTGATATTTGTTTTTTCAGATACTTCCAGAGTGGATCTTCTGTCACACTCAGTCTTTCCTCTGCAGCGTTGTGTTTAAAACATTCTGTCACTCTGGTAACTTCATGCTACTCTTTTCCCTCCCAGGAGGAGGCAGTGGGATCGGACGGGCGGTATGTCAGCGTTTGGCCTCTGAGGGCGCCTCCGTGGTGGTGGCAGACATCAGCGAGGAGTCTGCCAACGAGACCATGGTGGGTCTGCAGAATGACCTCAGAGGACAGGGTCACATGGCGGCTGTGGTGGATGTGTCATCAAAAGAGAGCGTGAAGAAGCTGGTCACCAGAATACAGGTGTGATACAGACAGGAAGACAAGCCAACACAACATGTGTTTACATTTCCATCATAATCAGCAACCTTTCTGTAGAAAAAGGTACTTTTCTCTCTGTGTGTTTTCATGCTGGAGGGGCTATTCCACGTGTTGTTTTTCTCTCCTTGTAAGTTATTGTTCTGTTCCTCTACACACTCATTACTTCGCAGCCTCCCTCAGTGGTGTGTGAACGCAGCAGGCATCACGCAGGACCACTTCCTGCTCAACATGGAGGAGGATCACTTTGACAGAGTCATCCAGGTCAACCTGAAGGTATGAAGCAAGTTCAGCGTGTAATCGAGTCTATCAGGTTAACGTCAGAGGATGACATCACAATCTAATAACTAGGGATGTGCCCGTTAGTCCACTTAAAGTGGAAGTCATCACCCTCACTAGTCGGACCAGAATTACAAGTTACAAATGATTCATATTTTTAGATGTTGGCCCTCGATGCCGGTTCATTTGTGCTCAAATTGCAGCACTTCTTAAAGCACTCTTCTTCCATCACTGCTGTTGAGACATAACGTGGGTCGACTTTGTGAGAAGAATCAGAAAGAAAGAAATCAGTCTCTGTTGTCTTCAACAGGAAACAACCGAAGATTCAAGTTTCTCGTTGTTGCCTTGAAGAAAAGAATTCATAAAATGATTCTCTCACAAAACTTCTAAAAAACTGCACGAGTGAACGCAAACAGACACATTTCTACTCCGACTTATCAGATTCAGATTCAGATTCAGATTCAGAGTTTTGATTGTCCCACAAGGTGAAATTTGCGTTGCAACAGGAGCACACAGAAGACAAGAAACACAAGGACAACATCTCCATAAAACATCAACCAAAACTAATTAAAAAAATCAGACAACACAGCAAAATATAAAACCAAATTAAAACAGCGCAATATAATCAGTCAAGAGCCCGGACCAGAATGGAAATTCAAGTTCTTAAAGTGCAAAGTGGGGTGTGCAAATGTGCAGTTCAAGTGCAAAAAGAGCAACAAATAGCTAATTGTTGTTTAACAGATTAATTGCACTTGGTAAAAATGAGACCTGGAGTCTTTTAGTCTCCTCACAGGAGCTCTAAAACGACGACCTGAGGTCAAAGGTCAAACTCACTGTGAAGTGGTGATCTGGGATCACAAGTATGGCCCTAGCTTTCCTCAGGACCTGCTGATTATAAATGGTCAAAAGTCAAACAGCAGGTAACGTTTTTCCAGCTTTAAGGCAGGGTTTTGAAAGTAGCATTTCCTCAGTGCTCCGTCTACACCAGCCTCCTCCTTCTGCCTCTGTATTTCTTGTATCCAATGACAGCGAGCCGAGAAGAACGAGTGCACGATGATGGCGATGATGGGATGACGTGTTCATGGATTCACTTGAGCACAAATCAACAAACCACATTACAACCTGTGCAGATGAAGCAGGTTAGAGGAGGAGAACATGTGCCAAGCAGACAATCATCATCCTGTAAATAAACATGTTTGTCCTGCTGCTCTTCATTTGAATCTCCACTTGTCTGTAAATAATCCTGTATCTATGTTGATTCATCTTCCAGTCGTGTTGTCGTCCTTTATCTGAATGCTGATTTCTTTATATGTTGATGTTCGCTCTGAGAGATTTTGACAAACGGATTCAAACTGATTTTGACTGAACGAGGAAAAGAAAACTCACCGTGAATGATTTACTGACAGATATATTTATACATCCAGTATTCATCAACTTGATCTTCTCTTCAACTAAAGGAAGAATGAGTGACTTTTTGATCCAGTAGATGTCGCCTTGAGCAAACAAAACAAACTGCTGTTGGCCACGCCTCCTCCACACTCAGAGACATTCACACAGGATAGACTGGATTTCTGATATATTTATGTGTAACATGTCACACATTCATCCTTTAAAACTTTAACTTTGAGAAGTCAACCAGTGCCTTTAATCTCTCAAAATAAACATGTTTGACTTTTCTTCAACAACAGCACTCTAACTGTGTTTGATTCAATCGTTTTCTGATGATTTAAAAACTGAAAACACTAAAAAATAAAATCTAAAGAGAAACTGAAATGAAATGATGTGGCTGTAAATGAAAAGAGATGCTAACATGTGAATCATGATTTTTCTCCCTGAGATCTGAGATCACGATTCTCTCACATGATTCTTTTTTTTTTTTTTTTCAACTTTTAATGAAAAACTGCATCTTGGGTCTCCCTCAGAAAAATGTTAGCATCAGACATTTCTTTTCCTGCATTCTGATCATTATTTATGCTCCACTTTGGACCTTTTCTGCCACAGCTTTATGATTATGTTTTAATCTTTTGTCCTTTTTGTGTCTTTTTCAAATCTTTCAGTGTTCATCAGACA